CAATTCTGTTTGATCATCAGAGTCTAATGATCATACCATCTGGTTATTAATTATTCCTCTGTAGTGTCAGGTCTCTGCAACTTTCACATGTTAATATTCTGGCAAATCTTTTTGAGTTTATAGGGCCTCCCTCTCTTTACACGCCTGAGAGCTGCTACTGATGTCTGCTGCATTTATTCGTGTGTCACTGAGTTGGTCTCTCAGATGGCGATCTAGGGTTCCGTCTCATTCAATTTCCCCAGTGAAATTGGGTTTCTCTGTTTAGTTACACTGTGTTCTGTTCTCCCTGCTTCAGGCAGCTCTGATCTAATTTAACCTACTCCCCTCTTCTTTGTTTGCCTTAGGAAAATCAGTCAGTCACTCCTCCCCACATTCTTTATTTCCCACCTTTTCTGTGTTCTATTCTGAGGCAAAAACAACAACAACAACAACAACAACAACAAAAACTCTAGTCATAGCCGAGAAATGAGAAATGGTATTAGAAGCCGTTAACATGCCATAGAAGACGTGAGCCCTATTCCCGAAGACTGTAGGTTACCTGAGGACACAGCTCTAACACGCAGAAACAAGTCAGTATAATTAAAGGTGAAAGCGTTTGTGTGCAGCAGGGTTTAGGAAAGGAGGGATTAGTGAAGACAGAGGGGTGCTATCAGCCGAGGAGGCGGCTGAGGACTGGGGCCACAGATTTGGGGCTTGCCCAGTTACAGGTTGGATAGGAATGGAGCAGCCAGTGCAGCGAGCAGCGAGCAGCGAGCAGTAGGGCCTTCGCAGGAAGGTTCACACAGCTCGCAGCTTGCCCTTCCCGAATGCCAGTTCTTCTGTCGCGTTTTATTTTGATATAATTTCCAACTTAGAAAAAAACCACAAGACTAGTACAAGAACTTCCACATACATTGTTCTGATTTTTTTTTCACCCCAGACTAGTTTCGCTTGTTCTAGAAACTTCATATAAATGGGATCGTGCAGCATGTATTCTTGTTTCTGGATTCTTTCGTTGCCTTGTTTTATGTCCAGATTCTTTCTTTTGGCAAAATGTTTTTGAGTCTCATCTATACCGTGTGGCAGCATTGTTAGTCATTCCTAATTGCTGATGAGTAGTTTTCCGTTGACTGAATACACCGCAATTTGCTCACCTGTTGATGGACATGAAATGTGGTTTATTTTCTGTTTTGGGCTATTATGAGTAAAGCTGCTATAGAATTGCTGTGAAAGTCTCTTTTTGTGGACACATGTTTTCGTTTTTTATGGCCAAATACCTAGGTCTGGAATTGTTGGGTCTTATTGTAGGTTTATGTATTAAAATTTTTGTTTATGTGTAAGAAATTGCTTTTTCTTATTATTATTGCTATTCTTCTTCTTCTTCTTAGAATGGTTGCACCATTTACACCTCTATCATCAATGTATGAATGTTCTGGTTGTCCCATATCCTGACCAACATCTGATGTGATTAGTCTTTTATTTTAGGCGATCTCCTGTGTGCTGGTAGTGGTACCTCATGGTGGTTTTGATTTTCATTTTCTGATGGCCAGTAATATTAAGTGCTTTTTTGTGTGCTTATTAGTCATTTGCATATCTTTGTTTGGAGGTATCTCTTAATTCTTTTTCCTTTGTAAAAAAAATGAGTTGTTTACCCCTTTATTCCTGAATTGTAATGTTCTTTATGTATTGTGGATACCAGTCCTTTGTCAGATAGATTTGGCACTATTTTTTCCCAGCCTGAGGCTCACTTCTTCCTTGTCCTAATGGCATCTTTTAATGATGAGAAGTTTCTCATTTTGATGAAATCTAATTTATCAGTTTTTTATTTTATGATCATTGTTTTCTTTTTTTCTATCTTAAACGCTTTTTGTACCCCAGGTTACAGAAATACTTTTTATTCTAGCTGTAATATGGCTTTAGCATTTACATTTTAGGTCTATGATCCATCCCTAATTAATTTTTGTGTAAAGTGTGAGGTAAGGGTTGAAGTTTTTCTTTCACCACTTGTGAAAAGACTTTGTTCTAACATCGCATTATTTTGATGTCTTTTTCAATAATCAGTTGCTTGCAACACGGTTGGTCTCTTTCTGAATGCCTGTATTCTAGTCTGTTGATCTATTTGTGTGTCTTTATGGCAAATACCACACTGTCTTGATTGCTGTAGCTGTACAGTAAGACTTGAAATCAACTTTTTTCATCTTTTCAAGATTGTGTGGCTATTTCAGGTCCTTATCATTTCCATATGAATTTTAGAGTCGTTTCATCAAGTTTTACTATTTATTAATTCTGATTAGTTATAAATTACTTATTGAAATGCCTGCTGGGATTATGATTAAGATCAATTTGGGTAAGTGGATATCTTAATCGTATTGAACCTCGCAGTCTGTGAACATGGTGCATCTCTACTTCCTGCCTGGCCGTAGACTGGCTCTACAGATAGAATATTATTGTTGAGATAATGCATATAAGGTGTTTAGCACACTTAGCCTGGCATATGTAATAACATTCTCTGTAATGTTAATATTTATTATTAGTTCCATTCATCTTCACAAAGGCTTATAAAGTCCTATTTGTGTCCTTCTTTTTACTCAGCGTGGAGCCTGACCATAGTTACACAGCTAGTGAGTGGCTGGGCAGGGTTTGCAGTGAGGCCATGCTTTAAGTGGCTGTCACTGGAAGCCAAGGTCGGTGAGCCTCGAATGGCATGCCTACATTTTGGGGACGGTCTTATGCATTGGTAGGCTAAGGTTAGGATTTATTCTGAGTGGTTTAAGGAACACAGGAATTCCGTAAGGGTACGTTAGCTCACAGCCAAGGGACCCAGGTTCCTCATGACTGAATTATAACGCAGGTTGGGAATGGGCGATAGTGAGTGTGGGACTCACAGGTGGAGGAATTACCAGGCATTTTGGGGAGCTGTAAATGATTCCCCAGTGTACTTAGCCTGCTCATTTATAGATTTTTCTTTATTGGCAGTAATACGAAAGCACGGTTTCATGATAATTTAAACCCACATTATAAACTCTCAGTATTTAAAGTAATAGGTGATTACGTTTTCCCTTTTGTTTATGTTTTAGTCTATTATAACATGGACTCAATTCAGAGCAGGTTTGTATCATGTCTTTACCACTTTCCAGCAGTACGACCTCGGGCAGGGCACTGTTAACCTCTGTGTGTCTCGTTTCCTCAACCTGTGGATCCAGAAAACTCTCATAGCTAATGAATGGTGGTGTTATAGGTGTTCTTTAAAAGCAGTCTTTTAAGCTGCTATGCAAAGTGCTTCCCACCATGCTTGGTGTATAACAAGTACTCAGAACTATTACCTGTCTAAATGTACACACTTTCACACATACATTCTGTGTGCCAGTTGTTTAAATGTGGGAAGAGCTTTGTTTATTTTTTGTCTTGCAGAAATAGTAGCTACAGAGGGTTGGTGGGAAGGGCTCTGACCTTTTAAGATACTGCAAATATTATAGTAGTTGTTCTAAAGCAGGGGATATCTGGTAATGACAGAGTAACAGCAGCACTTGCTTCCTGCCGAGATTTCATGTTCATTAGCTCCGACAATTGCCATTGAGATGTTATCGGCTGTTGTACTTCGGGGTCCGTTTTCTGCAGTGTCCTGAGGACAGGCCACATGGACAATGAAATCTGGTTTTCTGTCCGGCGCCGTCCAGCTGCCAGCACACATGCCTGCCTCGGCTGTGGCCAGTTGGAGGTCTTTCGCGTTTGCACATGGCTGTGCAGTAATGTGGAGCCGCATCTGGTCCACTCCGATTGTCATTACTGCGCCTCCTCTGAGGCCTTGCTTTTCAGAGGCCCTCCCTGCTTCCGCGGAACCGAAGAGCCGTTGCCTGGGAGGGGTCCGCGTGGTTTGGCATTCACTCCTACACCTGCCTACGGTGGGGAGGAGCGCAGCTTCACACTTCTCGCTAATTACTCGGCATCCCGTGTCCTTGGAATAAAGCAAGCCTGGTCGGTCGGGTGTGTAGCCCAGGCTAAGAAGCTCCCTCCTGTAGAGCCCCAAACACTCTGCCTCTCGGGGCTCTCACTTAAAGCCCGTTGCTGTGTCACAGACAAGCTGCTGGCGGAGCCCTGGTTTTAACCTTCTGGCTACACTTATGTGAGAGCACCGTGTAGAATTTCTAGAATAGGGCTTTGGCTCCCCGGGCTTTGGTCTTACTTTGTCCTGTGAAGTAACCAGCCTAGGTAGGGTCCAAGCACATTCGCCCTTCTCCATCCTTCTTCCATCCGCTTTACCCTGTGACTTGCAGCTTACCTTTGTTCAGGTGTTTCTCTCTGAAGGTGTCTTTGATGTGAGTGAATGTGCTATGTTGTTGTTAACGCATGATGGTGGCTTTTCAGGATGTGATCGCATGGTCATGTGAAGCTGAGCTGTACTGAAGGCGCCCCTCACAGGAAGGAGCCTTGGAAGGCGCTGTGCCTGGGCTGGGACGGGCACTTCGGAGGGAGGTTGCTCTTAGCTTCGGGCTGGTCAGAGGAGGGGCAGGGCCTCTGCTCTCAAGACGGTGGTGAGCGCGTGCGAGGCGTCTGACTTCCGTGAGCAGCACCCATGCTCACCTGCCCCCAAACCCCTCCTTCCTCCGACACCTCTTCTTGCCCCCTCACGTTCAGTGTCCTCTCTGGGGCATTTCTGGGGTCTGCTTCCAGTTCTGGCTTTCCATTTTCACTGCTGTTGGCCTAGCACACCAGAAGAAGCTTTGCCTCCTTAGCTGTCCCTCTACGAGCGACAGGGTGGGTGGGAGTCCCGGTTCCCCCCGCCCCCTGCCCGACTCGCCTCTGAGGTCACTTTTCCAGAGCGCACACTCATCCTCTGTCCCTGGGGCGCAGGTGCACTGCCCTGCCCTCACCTCAGAGGCGGGGTGGCTCCGGCAGTGCCTTCCTTTGTCAGAGGCTCCAGGACTTGTTAGATGAGCCATCCTTTACGGAGCAGCAAACCTAAGAGCCGTGACTTGTCCTGCGTTGGTTATAGTAATTTGAAAAATATTAAATCTTTTCAGGATGTATTGAAAATGGATATGCGAAGCTCGTTGTGATCCATTCTAAAAATAACACAGACCACCTGCCTCTTGTTGGAAAAGTTGGCCTCTCCTGGAGAACTGATATTTTTGATGGCTGTATAAAGGTAACTTGTTTTCTCTTCTTATGGTAACCTGGTTTCTGTATAATAAACATGTCTGTTGGTGCATGTGTGTGATGCGGCTTGTAAAGTCCTGGATTTCCTCTGCTGTCGTGAAGGCGTGTGCGTGTGTCTACAGCCATCGATGGCTGGTTCGTCCATCAGATGCCTCCTGAGGACCTTTGGTTTTGCAGGGAGAGTGACGGAGGAGGAGAGGCAGAATGGGCTGAGTGGCCGTGGTGGCACCCCTGCACCCCCTCGGAGCCCCTGCGTCTGTTGGTTTTGTGGTGAGAGAGTGGAGCTGGGGGTTGGATCAGGCAGGAAGCATTTGCTCAAAATGTCTTAATTCCTCACCCACCAACTTAAAACTCATTGCAGTTATGACTTCCAGGACACAGCTCTTTCCTTGAACAGTTAAACCAGTTCACACCCCTCGCAAAAACTAGCCACGTGGATGGGAGAGTTGGTTTAGTGGTTGGGAGCTGGCAGGGGAGGGGGGACATGGTTTCCTTCTCTCCTGTGACCTTTGTGCCCACAGCTGCCCTGGCTCACGTTACCCCTGGCTTCATTTTGTGGGGTGAGTAGGATCTTCACAGTCAGTGGGATCCATGTCCCGTGAACACAGGGCCCTCCCGTGACGTGGCTTTTTTCTGCCACACGGGTCTGCACACCTGTCTGAACTATCAGTCATGAGGGCTGAGGCCATGAGCGTCAGACCACTGAGCGTTAGAAAGACTTAATTATCACTAAGCACACTTGACCCTTGAACAGTGCCGAGCCCCGTGCAGTGGAAAATCCACGTGTGACTTCAGACTCCTCCCAAATTTAACTACTAGCAGCCTGCTGTTGGCCGGAAGCCTTACCAATCACATGAACGGTCAGTTACCACGTATTTTGTATGTTACGTGTATCTTATACTGCGTTCTTGCAATAAGGTAAGCTAGAGAGGAGAACACATTGTGAAGAACATCTAAAGGAAGGTACATCTACAGTATTTATTGGAGAAATCCACGTGTAAGAGGGTGTGCACAGTCCCAGCCTGTGCTGTTCAGGTCAGCTGGGCCGTCTCTCAGGCCATGTGCTGTTTGGAATCATGAGATACTTTATTAGCTCTGTTTGCTTGTAAGCAAATATTTAAACTTTGGTAAATATTATGTTTATTGCACACAGAAGAATATTGAAGACCACAGATCTGACCTTTTACAAATGGATTTAGATGGGTCTTATAAAAATATGCACCGAAATAAAATATCAAAATAAAAATAGACTTCGAGGGTCAGCCTATTTTAAAAAATCATTGTGTTTTGTCTTTTCTGGTAGTTGAGAGCAGGATGAGAGCCGTTCCTTAGTTCCTAGGGAAGCGTAGTAATTATACCGAGAAACAAAGCTTCATTCTGGCTCTGATCATTAAAAACACAGTCCCCCGTGGGCGGGTATGTAGGGCAGACTTCCGCAGCAAATGCGGTGACAGATTTCCTGCAGCAGCTCTCAGAAGTTGAGGACAGGGCTTTGCAATGGCCTCCACAGTGGGTCTGTAGGTCCCTCAGCCAGTGTGAGTCCCACTCCCAAGTTTCCAGCCAAACAGCTTCATCTAAACACAGGATTTCAAGTCCTTCAACTTGGGAATGGACTTCGTCTCCCTTGGACAATTTTCCCTCGAGAACCCCCCCTCTCAGGTGGGCTTTGGGTGAAGGTGAGAGTTGCTGCAGAGTACGTGCCCTCTCCTGGGGCCTGGCCGGCTTGCATTGCACTGCTGATAATTTGGGTTCGGTGTTAAGACTGAAATGTCTTTAGAGTTCCCAGAGAAGAGAAGCCAGGCCAGGGTGTCACGTGCCTGATCTTTGTCCTGTGGGTCAGGAGTTTACCTGACCCCTACGTGCATGGAAACTAAGCTGTGCTAAGAAATCAGTTTCAAGGAGTGAAAAACTATAAGCAAGGGCATGAAATGGAACCAGTTTCTTAGGAACATGCAATTATTAAAGCCCAACAAAGAACCACTTCCCCTGGAAATTGTACAAACAGCCTCCTAATTACTGTCACTTACAATGCTTATCAGAGCCCCGGTCGTGAGAAAGCGCGCCATCCCAACCTGTGATTCTAGTCACAAGGACAGAAGACGAAGGAGTGACATTTATGATGATGACAGATGGATGACTGCCAGCCGCATCTGCATTGTCTGAAGTGATGTGAGGTCAGGAAAGGCGTCCCTGAGGTCCTCCTGGCTTACTGTTTCCAGAAGACTCTTCGTCAGGGGAGCCCAGAGGGTGGTGGCCCCCAACCAACACTCACTGGCACGGAAGTCATCGGATGGGACGTAGGTGTAGCTTCAGCGCCTGGAGTCTGACTTCGACAGCTCGTCATTTCATAAGGGAGATTATTCAACCTAGAAACGTGATAAGCAGATCTGTTTTCTTTAAGCCAGATTATAATCTCAGATACACGTAGAGATGCCCACAGGCTGATGTATTAGCGGTGAGTCCACACAGGGCAGCCGCCCTCCGACTGGCGAACACGCTGTTTCACAGTGGTTTGGAGCAGCCAGGTTCCCTGTCCAGCCTTCAGTTCAACTCCAAATGAAACGCTCTCCTGGCCTGTCTGTTCGCAGTTCCTACCAGAGGCGCTGACCAATGAAGATGCTTTCGTTAGGCTCATGTGTGGAGCTTGGCGTCAGTTGTAATTTAAGCTGGATATTTCCGTACGCTCACCTCCAGTTTCGCTGTATGCTAGAAGAGCTGAGTTCAGCAGAGCCCGCCGCTGGGCATGTCACAGGGTCAGCTTGTTGCTGTGGCGGTGCCCCCCGTCTCCCCCAGTAAAGATGCTTTGGCCAATTTGCTAACGAGTACTGCCGTGGAATGGGAGATTACAGACAATGGTGCCTGTAAAATCCACACCTGTAAAGGAATGTGGTGTCCCGTGGGTGCCAGCGCCGCGCTCTTCTCAGACGCCGAATTCTGAATCTGGCAGAGTTCCCTGGTGAGTGGGGTGCAAGTGAGGAAAATGAGGAAAGCTGGCTTACTGCTCCAGGGACAGGAGTTCCGCTTCCTGCTTGAGGGTGTGTGTGCCAGAAGGTCTCGCCCAGGGAGGCTGATGTGGAAACAGCTCACGTAGGAGAAAGATGGAGAGAGAGTGGCGGAAGGTCTGTGGGCGGTTCTACAGCACACCCCCCTGCCTTCCCTCCCCTGCCCCCCAAGGACAGGAGGGATTTGCTATGGAGAAGGAGCCAAACGAAGAGGAGACGCCTCAGGCAGGATGCGGAGGACGGAGGGAGGCCCGGAGGAAAGGAGGAGATGGCCTGTGCGCCCTGTGAAGCGGGGCTGGGGGCTGCTGAGGCTGGAGGCAGGCTGCATGAGCCAGGAGAGGTCCTCTACCCACCTGATCACTGTGCTTCCCGCGCCGGCGCCCAGGCTGGCACTTGGCAGTGTGGCATGGCTCCTTGCTGTGCGTGGAGCTGGCTGGGGGTGGCAGGGGGGAGCTGGGCAGGCTGGGGCAGCTCATGCAGGGCCTAAGCACCATGGGGAGGAACCTGGATTTGGGTGTCAGTGTCTGTGGGAGGTTACTGAAGGGTTTCCTGTGCCCACTGTGTGCCTGCCGTTTTCTAGGCTGAGGGAAGTGGACAGTGCTGGACCTTAGAACTGGGGGGCTTTTGGAGAGAGTCAGCTCACACCTCCTTACCTGGCAGCTGAGGGGTCTGAAACGGGGACAGTAAGTCATTTGCTGCAGGGCGTGGGGCGAATGAGTGCATCCTAGTCAAGGAGTCTGTGCCCCTTGAGGAATCCTCCTTGGTTCCCTTCTCCACGTTCCTCTGGAATGGTAGGCCCCCCAGGGCGTCTCCTCCTTGGTCCTGATTCTGGACACGGTGTCTGCCCTGGTGGGTTTTGATGAGGTTTTAAGTAAGGAAACCAAGAGACCATTCATTATACGAGTAGTTAGATGAAGGGTGAAGGGGGAGAAAGGCTTGGGTTCTCCTGACCTGCTGTGTTCCCTGGGAGTTGCCGTGGCCATGCTGAGAGCTGCTGCCTGCAGAAGGGCTCTGGTCACCTGAGCACGAACAGAGAGACACCTCCCAGCTCTCACTATTGGCCTCCGGTCCCTTTTTCCAGCCCCCGAGTGGAAGGGCCCTTCTCCTCTGACTGTGAGCTTGCGGCCCCCGTTGTGCAGGAAGCAGAGGCTTTCGTGGGGCTGAGTTCTGCTTCAGGATTGGGACGGCCACCAGCAGCGAGGTCCAGACCCCCGGGTTGGGACGGCCACCAGCAGCGAGGTCCAGACCCCCGGGCAGCCCCCGCCTGACGGGAGGCAGGAGCTTTCTGCTCTGTGATGTCGCGATTGGAGCAGGTTCACGTGGCTGCTCTCCGCTCCGTCTGTCTCCTCCAGAGCTGGAACCAGCTCACCTCCACCACTTATTCAACAGCTCATGTTTTCAACTTCTGGGATGTTTGTGTTCCTTAAATTTCCCTGAGATATCTATTTTTTGGGTCAAGACCTTTTGACCTGATCATAGTTGAGTCCAAATGGTCAGTCTTTGCAACCACATTTGATAATGTATGGACCTCCGAATGCAAGTTCATGCAGATCTCTTAGACTATCTCCAATATCTATAATTATGCTGATCTCCATGCTCAGTGTATGCTGGTCTCTGAGTTGTCATTAATAAAACACTAATATACGGCACAAGTCACAGCAAATAACAAGCCATAGCCGAAAAGGTAAGTGTTAGTAGATTTTAGCCTTGATGTTACCTTGTAGTTTCTGGAGAGCTAAATAAAATAGTGTAAGTAAACTGCTTGGATTAGCGTTTGGTACATAGAACATGTTAGAAAACACAGCTCACACTGTGCACTCATGTTCATAGCAGATTATTCCACAGCAGCCAAAAGGCAGAGGCAGCCCAGGTGTCCACCAGCGGGTGGGTAGGTACACACTCTGTGGTCTGTCCATGCAGTGGAATGTGACTCAGCCGTAAAAAGGAAGGACTTCCTGACACCTGCTGCAACGCGGATGGACCATGAGGACGTTATGTTAAGTGACATAAGCCAGGCACAGAATGACAAATACTGTGGGATTCCACTTCTGAGGCACCTCGTGTCCTCAAATTCACAGAGACAGGAAGGAAAAGGGTGGTTGCTAGGGGCTGGGGGAGGCGGATCGGGTGTTGTTATCACTGGGTCAAGAGTTTCAGTTATGCCAGATGAAAGCTATCCTGAGGCAGATGGTGGTGATGGTCGCACAGCAGTGTGAATGCACTTACTGCCATTGAATTGTACACCTGAAAATGGTTAAGATGGTGAATTTTATGTTATGTGTATTTTACCACAATCAAAGATACATTTTAAAATAATATTAATAACTACCAGTGTCTCCTGCTGTCTGCCCCCAAGCAGTCCCCATACAGTGAAGTCTGTCACCTGCATTTTAGAGGCAGCGTGTTTGAGCCTAACCCCCTCCTCTCCCCATTCCTCCTTTTCTGTAATGGGAGAGGGAGGGGCACGTAGACCACCTGCTCCCTCCCTCTCACCTCCACACCGGCTTCTGCTCAGTTTGTCTTGTAAATGCTTCTTCCATCTCGTCTTTCCTGCGAGTTACTAGCTCTGCTAATTGACACCTCTTCACTAGTCTAACACTAGCCAGTAGCCACATCACTATTGTCACTGCTGTTATTCCCATCCGTGTTATTGCTGTCACTCCTTTACCCAACATGCCTTTATTGGTACTGGGTCCTGCTGGCGGCTGGCAGAGGTGCGGGCATGGACAGAGCTGACCTGGCCGGCCCCCATGACTCACCCTCCCTGCCCAGCCTTGCTGAGTAATGTCTCGCAAATGTGTCACGCTCTCTCACGCTGTTTGCAGATGCTGTTCCCTCGTCCTGTTAGCTTTCTCTCTCCTCTCCTCTCCCCTCTCTCACTGAACTCGAATTCATCCTTGTGACAGGCTTCACTCGTATGTGTTTCTCCATTTACTAACTATACCTGAAAGTCAGTTCTCACTGGGCATGTTATCCTCACACTTATGAATATTTGTGCTTGCTTTGTAGAGTTGTTCTGTAATGGACATGACTCTGTTGGATGAATATGGGGAACCCTTTTGGTGTTTCAGTTCCCCGGTTTGCATGCGGTCATCTCCCAGGCCCTCGGACGGCCCTCATTTCTTGGGACAGACATACCATGTTGACTACATGGACTCGGCAGGAAAAGCGCACATGGAGCTGGTGTGGATTGAAGAGACGGAAGAACACTTTATTGTCAGCCTGGCCCTTTACCTCAGTGTGGCAAAAATCAACCATTGGTTCGGGACACACTACTAAATATTAGCATAGGTGGCAGATTACATTGCTGTTTATTTGTTTATTTTGGATTCACCAGTTTTGTTGTTGGTGCTGGAAGTTAAAATAAAGCAGTAGTCCATTTGATGCTTTCTTATTTCACATTAGAAATTAGGATTCCTGGGTCATTTTAAAGCTAATGTTTGGAGGATTAAGGTAAAATTTTAAAACATGAAAATAGTGCTTTCCGATGATAAGTCATATAACATGAAAAGGAAAAATATATTTACTGCTCTTCTACCCTGACAATTACAAAAACCAGGTATTCTACTTAAGCACACAATCACTGTGTGAGTGTGTGTGCATATGCGTGTCGTGTGTGTGTGTGTGTGTGTGTGTGTGGGAGGCATAGATAGGTTTTTCTCTATTGGTTAGAACCCCAAATGAGAAGATATATTGAAATATGAACTTTGGTATTTACTAGTATTTAATGAAACAGAGCAAAACAAATAGCCTATTTCATAGGGAAAGATGTATCTGAAATCATCACAAGAAATGTTGCTGTTTAAAAGCACAAAGCGGGATAGAAATGCAGCTAAGACCCCCGACTCCAGTGGGTGGGGGCGGGTAGACGAGTGAGCAGGGCCCTTCCTCTGCAGACACCTTTGCAGAGACGTCACAGATGCTGGGGGTGCGCAGAGAGGTAACATCTATCTAAACACATGTTTTTAGGGAGCTGGTTCTAAATTTGTTTTTGATTGTACTGATTATTTTTTTATTATATTTTTGTCTCCCACTTAAAGTTATTCTCAGAAGTGATTTTTGAAACGCCATGTTGCTTGTACTGGGGCATCCATGCTTAGACGTCTGTGTTTATTTCTCATTCTTCTCCTAGTGAATAATTCGATCCGTTTTCTCTTTTGAGGGTGTGTGTGTGTGTGTGTGTGTGTGTGTGTGTGTGTGTACAATGAAGAGCTTGAAGACAGCAGTCAAAGCTTTGGGACAGATATTAGGTCCTTGGCCAAAGAAATGTGAGTGTGAAAAGGACCCCTGCTGCTGTTGCCCTCCCACCCTCCCAGCCTTGGCCCGAGCCCTGGGGAAGGACAGCACAGGCGACCAGAATCCACTGTTTTCATGGTGTCACCACAGAGCAGGTGGAGAGCACCTGCACCAGCTGGCTGACAGTCGGGAGATGGTGAGGCAGTGGCTTGAGCAGTGAGCCAAGATGGAAGAGGGTGAGATTCAGGAGGCACTTGGCAGAAGTCACCTGTCACCTGCAGGGCTGAATGAGGAAGCAACCACAAAACAACGTGTGGTGGCTCCTTGAACTTAGTGGGTTAACGTGTGTTCAGGGCACTAGATGTCCTGAAAATACTGGAAGCCAGTAGAGCCAGAGAACGAGTGTTGTTCTCTTTCCCCCCTGTTTACCGGTATTTGGATGCCTTGGGAAGCCAGGTGCTTCCTTGATGGCAATACAACGGGGAAACTCCTGGGGCAGCGCTTACTGGTTCAACGCTTGTCTGGACTGAATCGAGTGGGCTTAGCATCTGTCTCCCCGCCAGACTGCGAGCCATGTGAGCACGGGTGTGATGTCTTGTTCGCTGTTCTATCTCCAGCACCTAACAGGATACCAGGCTCATAGTCCACACACAGTCGCTAGTTTTGAGTCAGTGGAAACCACTGTAAGGAATATTCCCACTGCTGTGGGAGTTTGAAGGGGGCGGGGCTAGTTCTGACTTGATGCATCTGGGAGCCCTTCATAGCTCAGTTAATTCTGAGGGAAAGGGCATTGGCAGTGCCAGGGGAGGGGTGAGAGAGGCAGAGGAAGGGCATCACAGGCCTGGCATTTGTCTCTTCCCAGAGCCGGAAGACTCACCCTGCCTCCACATGCTTTTACAAGGCCTGAGATAATGCTCAGCTTTTAAAAGCTGTTTCTTCTCATATTTGCCTCCATATTTTAAATAATAGAAATATGGTTGTTTGTTACCAATGTTAGACGTCTGTTGACTTATGGTAGATAAGCTCTATTACACCAGCCACCTCCCTTCTTATATCATACCAAACACAGTAATACCTTGGTTTGCGAGCATAATTCATTCCAGAAACAAACTACTCGTATTGCAAGACACCACTTGTTCACCTAGTTAAAATGTATTAGAAATGTTTGCTTGTCTTGTGGAACACTCGCAAAACAAGTTACTTGCAATCTAAGGTTTTACTGTAATTACTGCAATTTTAAATGCCTTGTCATGATTGCTGTAACTGTGGTAGTGTTCCCTGCAGGGTCACATAGAGTACTATGATGCTTCTTTCTTTCACAACTTTTTATTTTTCTTGGATGAATAATTGCCTTTCTATTTTTTACTGGCATGGTTTTCAAGGAGCCTAAAATTGTCCTTAAAGCTCTGTTCAATCTTTCATATATCGGTTAATATTTTTTCCCTAAATGCTTAAATATACCAAAACACATATGAATTCTATTTTTTTTTTCCTCCCAGGCTATTTCATTCCCAGAGTTCTGCCTCTGTTTGCTTTAATCTAAACATCCTCTCTGTAGCCCTGCTACACCCTGGGAGTTCTCCCATGTGAATCGTCCATTTTATGTAATCTGGTCTCTCTCTTTCTCACTTTATATTCTTTATTCGGTGGCATACCTTCTGTAGCTTCTAAAGTAAGTGATGTGGGAGATACATTTTGGATGCATGACTTTCTTAAAATGTCTGATGATAGTTTAATTGGGTACTAATTGTAGGATGAAGATATTTTTTCTTAGGACTTTGCAGACTTTTTTTGTTTGTTTGTTTGTGTTTATCCCGCTGTTGTTGATGTGTATAATGCCATTTTGGTGGTTCTTTGGTATATGATCTGTTCTCTCTCTGAAAGCTTTTAGAATTACTATTCTTTCTTGATATTTGGAAAATGGTGTGCATTGAAGTAGGTCTTTTTCATTTGTTATGGGTCATTTTAATCTAAAAACTTGAGTACTTCAGTTTTGGATTAAAAAAAAATCCTTCAGTATTTTCTGTGTTTTTTTCTGTAACTGTTATTAATCAACTGTCGTTCCTTCTAGATTGATCATCTCAAGTGTCTTATCTCTTCTGTCTTCCATCTTTTAGTCTTTTGCTCTGCTTTCTGAAATATTGCCTCAATTTTGTGTTTAACCCTTGCATTGAATTTTATTGTTTATTTTAGTCAGGTTTTTACTTTATTAGAATTCTTTTCATTTTTCTAGTTTATTATAACACATTCTGTACCTATTTCAGAAATGCAATCTTTTCTCGAAAGCAAGGTTTGATAAACTTTCAAGGGCCTGATAATAGTTTTGGCTTCGTGAGACATACAGTGTCTGTGGCATCCACTCAAGCTGTGCCATCGCAGCGTGAAGTCAGATATAGACAGCACGCAAACAGGTGGGCCGGGTCGTGTTCCAAAACCCTTGGTTTACTAAAACAGGCAGCGGGCTGAATGTGGCCTTCAGGTTGTAGTCTCCGACTCTGCACAAAATCTCTGAGGTTACTAGTTTACATTTTCCAAAAATTTTTCGTTTTCACCGTTTGGCAAAACTGTAACATTAGATTTAGGCAAGAATCATCAATGGATGCTAAAATCGGTGGGTGAGGTAATGATGAGAAACAAGATGTTGACATAGTCTCAGAGTATCTTGCCCCAAAGGCTTGTTACAAAGGAAAGAATAGTTAGCTCCTGGTGGAGAAACCTGAAAAGAGCACGTGAAGGACTCTGGTTGCCCGCCCCCCCATGCCCCGCCCCCTCTCTTCGGCTCTCCCACGCGTGATTGGATGCTCGGCCAGGGGGAACCTGTCTCCTTCTGCTAGGGCCCAGCGCCTCCTACCTCAGCGCCCCCACGCCTGCCCATGCAGCCTCCTCACCTCTCTCCGCCACTGTTTCTAAGATTTGAAGATGCTTCTGATGCCAGAACACAAGATACTGACACTCGGGGAGATGACAGGCAGGTCTGAAGGAGAGAAGGCTCCCAGGCAGGGCGCTGCAGGGGTGGTACCCTGGAAGGGGTAACAGCAAGCTGGCGCTGCAGGGGGCGTCTTTGGTATGGCAAGTAGGTGGGGTTAGCTAGAATTCGAAAGCCCCTGTGGATTGGAAAATTTGCATAATCCCATGGGCTCCTGCGTAGGGGTTGTCCCTCATTGGTGGTGCCTGGGCCTGGGCACATGAGAGCAGGTGCTTGGTGACTCTGGAGGGGGCGAGCCTGCTGAGGAAGGTGGGTGGGGTGGGCTTAATTAACAGCTCAAGACTGGCTCACGACAGCATTTTACAGATCCCCAAACTAGGCACATTACAGCCACGCCTCTCCATGGGTGTCCTTCCTACCCTCCCAGGCCCTGCCCTCACACCAGGCTGCCCAATGCGAGGAGCCCCCCCTCCCCCCCCCCAACACACACACCTCATTGCTGGTTGTGGGGCTCAACAGTGAGGGAAGGGAGACACTTCTCAAAGATTAAAATACTGACATATTCTGTGTGCCGTAAATGTTCACAGATTACACACAATATAATGGTCCTTTTTGGGGGGCTGGCTATCTTAGCGTTATTTGTATTGAAATGAAGTTGTCAGACACATGGAATGAAGGCGTTTGCTAGTCACACTCCTTTGTCTGAGAGGAAGCCTTTTGCCCGCAGGGTAGGAGGGGCGATTATGCCGGGGATCTTCACTGCATCTGGGGGAGGGGAAACAGGCCCCCTGCGTCAACTCAAGTAACAGGTGCACACTCTTAATTATGCAGTTGGCAGAGAAACAAGGGGAAGTTGCAGAAAAACGCACCCACCACTCGTGTAGAATCAAGGGACATAGTTTTATGTTACGTGTTTTCCAGATGTAAAATCTTTACTGGCTTAAAAACCAGACCAAAGGCTGAGCAGGCTTCCCAAATATGATTTTTACATATGACCCGATAGTTGTCTCTTACTGTCGTAAACATCGTCTAAGTCTAATGATGATAACAGCTGCAGAAAGAAAGTGTGCACATGAGAAAATCACCGTGCAAAATGCTTTGCCGATGCTTGTAAGGAAATGTGCCTTGAAAGGGCTGGGTGTGAAGTGGGTTCTGTGCTCCAGTGGATGTTTCGTATGTGAAAAAACACGGCCCCCGATTACAGCAGAGAAAGTTCCCA